CACACACACACACACACACACAGGACCGTTGCTGCAGGTTTGGGACAGCCCTGACAGGACCAGATGTTTTTGTCGGCGCTCACCCGGCCCAACTTGTGCTCTGCGATGGTGCAGGAGTCCATGAAGGTCTGAGCGATGACGGACAGCACGGCGTCCACGTGGTCCGACACCTGCACGTCGAAGGTGAACTGAGGGTTCTTCAGGATGTTGATCCAGAAGCGCAGAGGGAGGCTGCAGAAACAAAAGCAGACTCTCAGTGTCACAGGAACTGGTTCTGGTTCTGTTCCGGGTCTCGGTCCAGCTCTACCTGTTGGTCTTCCAGATGTGGATGGTCTCTGGGTCGGTGATGTTGTGCTGTCCGGCCTGCTCATCCAGCAGGTCGAAGAAGTATTTGACGGCCAGCGGGATGGGTCGGCTGGTGCTGAGGATGACGGTGAACAGGTCGTCTACGAACTTCTGCAGAGTTCCCTGAGGAGGAATCGAACACACGGCCTGAAGGTGTCTGTCGCCCGTCACACAACACCGCTCACAGCGAGACACAAAGCCAACATCAGCAGATTTGTAGCTACTTTAAAACCTCTGGCCTGGTTCTGAGCAGACCGACACCAGACCCTCAGACTCCAACAGCACCCAGCCTGCACCTTTATCTGCCCCACCTGTTCACAGAGTCCTGCTGAAACTGGTCAGGAGGCTCAGTCCAAGACCTCAAACTCCTCCCACATCTTACCCTGCAGGGCTGCAGCGCCGATACCCCTCAGCTGCCTGAGTCCCACCAGCTAACAAGACCCAACAGAGTGAAACACATTAAAATCACAGATAAAACCCAACAAGAACAATAAAACAAACAAACAAACAGAAAAACAAACAAATAAACAAACAAACATACAGACAAACAGACGAACAGAAAAACAAACAAACATACAAATAATCAAACAAACATACAAACAGACGAACAGAAAAACAAACAAACAGACAACCAAACAGAGAAACAAACAAGCAAACAGAGAAACAAACAAACAAACAAACAAACAGAGAAACAAACAAACAGAGGAACAAACAGACAACAAACAGACAGACAGAGAAACAAACAAACAAACAAATGGACAAACAAACAAACAAACAGAGAAACAAACAAACAGACAAATAAATGGACAAACAAACAAATAAATAAATGGACACACAAACAAACAGAGAAACAAACAGACAGACAAACAAACAAACAAACAGACAGACAGACAAACAAACAGACAAACAAACAGACAGACAAACAAACAAACAAACAAACAAACAGACAGACAGACAGACAGACAAACAAACAGACAGACAGACAGACAAACAAACAAACAGACAGACAGACAGACAGACAAACAAACAGACAGACAAACAAACAGACAAACAAACAAACAGACAGACAGACAAACAAACAGACAAACAAACAAACAAACAGACAAACAAACAAACAAACAGACAAACAAACAAACAGACAGACAGACAAACAAACAGACAAACAAACAAACAAACAGACAAACAGACAGACAGACAGACAAACAAACAGACAGACAGACAGACAAACAAACAAACAGACAAACAAACAAACAGACAAACAAACAAACAGACAGACAGACAAACAAACAAACAGACAAACAAACAAACAGACAAACAAACAAACAGACAGACAGACAAACAAACAAACAGACAAACAAACAAACAGACAAACAAACAAACAAACAGACAGACAGACAAACAAACAAACAGACAAACAAACAAACAGACAAACAAACAAACAGACAGACAGACAAACAAACAAACAAACAGACAAACAAACAAACAAACAAACAGACAGACAGACAGACAGACAAACAAACAAACAAACAAACAGACAAACAAACAAACAGACAAACAAACAAACAAACAGACAAACAAACAAACAAACAAACAGACAGACAGACAGACAGACAAACAAACAAACAAACAGACAAACAAACAAACAGACAAACAAACAAACAAACAGACAAACAAACAAACAAACAAACAGACAAACAAACAAACAAACAAACAGACAGACAGACAGACAGACAGACAGACAGACAGACAGACAAACAAACAGAC